AGCTGCAGACATACCTGCATGGGAACACAGCTTTGTCCCTGTGTCTAAGATACTACTGTCCTGAACCTGTCAATTTGTTGCTGATGGCCCTTCAAGCACCACCATAAGGAGCTGGATCAGAAACAAAAATGGACAAAACCAGGATACCCAATCCAACGGTATATCTGACACCAAGACCTACCTTAGCTTTCCCATGACTCAAATGACGTCTAAGTGTTTTCTGACATCAAGTTTTCCAAAGTCGATTAACTAAAGTTCTGATGGACAAGAAATAAACTACTCTGCCACATTTAATTAGGGGAAAAAAAAAAATCAATGTTACCCCCAGGCCTTACAAAACCTGTTTTAGTGACTGCTTTTCCCCTAGCCAATGAGGATCAGAGAAGAAGCTGAGATTAGTGCCTTTATCACACTTGACACACATTTCTGTGCATGAAGTCTCACAGACAGCCACATTTTTATTCTTATTCAGGTGAGACCCATCTATAATTTGTTGGGATGAGGAAATTAGATTTGATTCATACAAGCCTGAACAGTATGCACTTACTTTCCCAAGCAATTCTGCCAAAGCACTTTCTCTGTTATTTTTAAGTCAAAGGAACTGACAAAGTCATCTTTGGAAGAAGATGGAAGAAGTACAAGTTGGGATCTGATAAAACCAGTTGTTCACCATTTTGGCAATAGTGGAAGTTTTAAGAAGGGGGCACTGGCATGATAAAAAGGCACTTTTCCATAACATTTAATCTACATACAAAATATTAATGTAAAAAATTGCCTGAAACAGCAAGAGCAGTAAAAACAGAATTTTATTAGTATATGAGGCTTAGAATGGCATGAAAATAGAGTTAAAAATAATTAGGGTATTGGGACAATTTACAAATGATACTGTAGAGAGTCAATCTCCTGCATCATGAATGTCACCTCCACAGTTTAACTCTAGCGACAAAAGCAGGCAGAAGGGAAAAGGTCTCAGTATGTGTGATGGATGAGTGAATGTTAATCCTCTTGCTAGTGTGTATACCCAAGAGATCTCTCTCTCCCTCCCTCCCTCCCTCCCTCCTTCCCTCCCTCCCTCCCTCTCTGTCTCTCTCTCCTTCCCTCCCTTTTGGTGGTGCTTGGGATCAAAATTAGAGTCTTGAACATGCCATGTAAACTCTCTACCTCTGAGCCTCACCCTCAGGCCTGGGTTATTTCTCTGTCTACTGAATTAGTTTTTCTTTTTCACTGAGCCCCTCCAGGTAACTGAAAGCATGCAGATATAAAATGGCCATCTTGGTTTGAGATGGAGCCTGTGCTATAGATGCAAAGTAAAGCCCATAACTTTCAACTAATTACAAATCAGGAAATAGGGATAACAGAAAATTTTACTAGGAAAATGAAAAATTCTCAGGCTAACTCTGTGAATAAGTATAACTTTGCTGAATTTAAGAATTATTCAGGGGCTGGAGAGATGGCTCAGCAGTAAAGAGCACTGACTGCTCTTCCAGAGGTCCTGAGTTCAATTCCCAGCAACCACATGTTGGCTCAAAGCCATTTGTAATGGGATCCGATGCCCTCTTTTGGTGTGTTTGAAGACAGTGAAAGAGAGAGAGAGAGAGAGAGAGAGAGAGAGAGAGAGAGAGAGACAGAGAGAGAGAGAATGAGAATGAATGAATATGAATATATTATTCACTGTGGTTCTTATTTGCTGATAGATTTCATTTTCCCAAAACAAGCATTTACACTGGCTTAAAAAGGGGGTCCAGGTAAGGTGCTTCATACCAGCAGGCCCAGGACTTGGGCAGCATAGTGCAACTTCGCTGAAAAAATTAAAACAAACACTCAAAAGAAATTATCCCTTTCATTCTGAAAGGACATACGCACAATTTCTTCCTTCTATTTTTTCTGGGTACATCAGTCAAAATTCTGATAGGCAATAAATCTACTACAATGCAATTATAAACTATAATTCACAATATTATACAAAGAGGGAGCAAGGAAGGATGGAGAATGGGAGGGAAAGAAAGAGGTCTCTTGTTAATACTGCTTCTATAATAAAAGCCCTTTTAACACTTGTCTAAGGAGACAGGGTAAGACAGGTCTACATTGGCTAAATACCAAATAGCAACATGATGCTAGAATCAGAAAAGCCCACAGGCAATGCTTAGGAACAAAGTATCTAATGTCTTCTCCCTGGTGTAAAATGACAAGAAGGAGTAACTTGCACACACACATGGGCACATGCACTTGCACGCACACACACAGGTGTGTGTGTGTGGATGGAGAGAGAAAGGGAGGAAGGGAGGGAGAGAGGAAGAGGGAGAGGGAGAGGGAGAGGGAGAGGGAGAGGGAGAGGGAGAGGGAGAGGGAGAGGGAGCGGGAGCGGGAGTGGGAGCGAGAGCGCTAGTAAGCTCCAAGCATTTCTGTGAATTGCTGAAAGCAGGAGCCAAATGTAACGAAGGAATAAAATGTAGTTCACAGTTTATTTAGGTCCTTCTGCCAGATATAAATTTAATAAATCATGATTCCCAAGGCCTTTGCTGGCTCATTGAGTCTTCCCACTGGGAGCTGTAACTTGTAACAGTAACTGGGAAGCTGCATTCTTAGCACAAATATCAACCACTGAGCTAACTCTTCAATAAGAAGACAAATACTCTTTGTAACCCAATCATATATTCAGAACATTGTACTTAACATGGACCTTAAGGGGCAAGGAACATTTAACAATGTGATTAAACAAATAAGGCTCTGTCATATCTGAGCAGGAATATGTTAGCACAGCACAGCCCTTGTATAAATAACCACAGAAATGACGAGACTGAAAATGGGGTTTCTACCTCCATCCACTCAAAGCACGACAGTTCAGGTGATGTTCTGTTCTAAACTTAAACATTATAAAACAGAAATTGGTCCCGGTGACTTGGCATTGCCAATCAGCATTTATAAGGATAATCTGCTAGTACAGAATGAACAGAAGCTACCACACAATCCAGGCTTCTTGCTGCCACTTCATCCATGGCAGTATCAAACATTCTAATTTGATCTTGGTGAACAAACAGATTTCCTGAGTCTCCTACATGATCTCAGAAAATAATTCAGAAAACTCACAAGCAAATGTGGTTTTAAACTTTGACTTCTGTTTTTCTTAACATCTGCTAGGTCTGCTTTTTATGACACTCCAGACAAGACTCTAGTGTCTGTTTTACTTTTTAAAACTGAAGCACTGAATTGTGTGGCTGAACCTTCTTGTAACCCAAACTATGTTGGATGATTTTTCCCTATAGGAACTGGGGGAGAAAGGAGATACTCAGGAAATACTTTTGGTTTAGAGAATTTATAAAGTAGCTCTGGATATTAAAAGATGGGGAAATGTTATTAAAATTACAAACATGGTTTTTTAGTGTCTTTATAAATAAAAGGCATAGGATACAGAAAGCCAATTAATAACAACAACAACAATAATAAAATATTAAATATATAGTGAACGAAGACAGAGTGGCTCATTCTTGTCAAACACCATTTGACACACTGCTTCAAATAAATTTCCTTGCTCTTTAACATCTCGCTGAGTGAAAGATCCAGCAAACACACAGTAAGTTGCCTTCAGCTCCCTAGTAACATCTAGGAACTGCCTGATGGAATGGCTACAGATAAACAGGCCATTTGCTTCAAAAGGTGCTTAAATACTCAAGAAAGACATAACAAACTCCCCTCAATGTTATCAGATGCCACGCTGTGGTAGAACATCAGACAAACTCACAAATTTACCACAAAAATGTGTGGCAAAAAAGAATAGTTTATATATGTATATATATATATATATAAATTTCTATATTTATGCCAATGTACTCACTCAGTACAAATAGCAAAATAGTATACCATTTCCTAAATATAAAATATAGCTTTCCAAAAAAATGAAACACACATTAGATATAAACCATCCAAAACTTGAACGATTGAAAACTGTTTTCAAAATTAAATGACCAGAGTAGGTCTCTTTCTGGAAAGTTCCCTTCATATTGGCAAGAAGCCTGTACTACTGAAAACGTAATCCAATGCCTCTCAGAGAGAGAAAGGAAGGGCCAGGGCAGAGGGAGAAGGACAAAGAGAAAAAGCAAATGACAAGAACCAGTCAGGGGATCTGGCCATATAAACTAAACCAACACCAAGCTCCATACAATTCAACACATGCGGAGGATAGGGGAACAAAAAAATGAAAGGAAAACTAAGGGAAAAGGCAACAACCATGTACTGGCTAATTTTTAAAAGCTTAGAAAGTAAAAGAATTGAACATGAAACCAAAACATATCAACATACAGAAGCTGCATACATGATGGCCTAACGCTGCATTGACACTTTCCACATGCTGAAGATAATGAGACATGAGCATGTGTCTGGATGTAGGTGGTAGTGAGAAGCAGGCCCCCACGGGTGGACTCTACAACCAATGCTACAAATGCAAGTTCTGGAGTGTGTAACTTTGCTCTCTGTAGATGCAACACAAGTTAACTCTTTCTTTTTTTTTTTTTTTTTTTTTTTGGTTTTTCGAGACAGGGTTTCTCTGTATAGCCCGGGCTGTCCTGGAACTCACTCTGTAGACCAGGCTGGCCTCGAACTCAGAAATCCGCCTGCCTCTGCCTCCCGAGTGCTGGGATTAAAGGCGTGCGCCACCACCGCCCGGCCAAGTTAACTCTTTCTTTAAATCAATGATATGACCCTGTAGAGCCCAAGGCTGTGGGAACCATCACATAAGTAACCATTTCAACTGTAAAGCACTGAGGTGACTCGTGAATAGTCACTGCAGCTCGGGGACAAGTGACAGTTTGAGAAATGTTTGTTTGCCTTGTTTGTAAAATTAAAATTTATACTACTATCATCAGAGGGAAAACTTTGAAGACTTCAGAACAGCACCGTTCATGGAAGAAAGCAAAACAAAACAAAACAAAACAAAACAAAACAAAACAAAACAAAACA